ATTTTCTTTCAGCGTGGAAAAAAAAACCCAAAATGGGAAATGAATGAAGATAGTGCCTGTCACAGGGAGAGGGCTGGTTAATTGGTTGTTTCCACTTTTACTACAGATAAATGAAGTGTCATACAGCTATCTCATCAGCATCGCTGTGACCCTGAGTGTGGAGTAAAACACTGATCCAAGACCAGCAGACTTGGGGAGTTTATGTTGGCTTGTGCTGGAGTCAGACAACTTGACATTGGTTGACTAGCATTGTCTTTTGTTTAAACTGGCTGGTTAAGATAGTTATGCTTGGTGGCTAAGGATGATTAAAAATGAAAGATCTTCAGTGGCAACATCTCATCTATCTGTTGAAGTTATGCTCCGCTTTCTGCCATAGCTAAGCAACTTAAAACACTACAGGCAAAAACATTGTTTTTTCATGCACTGGTCAATTTTGTGATTTTTATTTTATTTTTTGGACACTTCCATTTTCTTATTTAGACTAGTGGAAAGAAAACATCCAAAATACACATTTAAGTGTTTATTTTGTTACACTTTATTTGTGTCTGTAGACTTCCATTTACTGTACATATCTTTAAAAGCCGTTTTCTCAAAATGAGTTTTCATCTCCACTTTAGCAGCACTACATACACCAAACTTTAGAGTTTTATTCCAATCTATATTATGAAGGATTTTATTTAAGGGTTTGTTCATATATAATTCACCTAATTTTCTGCAACATTTTATTATGGTGAAAATGTATATACATTTTTTGGCCATTGACAGCATTTTCGGATTTATAGAGTAATAAGAAGCCATATCCAAAATTCTCTCTTTAAAAACCTGTGATTCTAGTATATCAACAAAGTTAAACAAAAATGTTGAACCCGGCTTTATCCAGTGTTCACATAATGCCTTATATGCTTATTTAAATGTAACACTTAAAAAATTGTAATACTAAAAAGTTTGTAATGTCTTAAGACAGTCTTGCTGAGCAAGTTAGTTAAAGTTGGCATGTTTATAGTTTGTTTATAGTTAATTAAATTGCACATACATTTAAACATGACACTGTCATCCCCTAAGTACTGAAATTTGTTATTGCCACTTAATATAGGAATACACTTTAAGTATGTACTACAGGACCACATACTTTCAATGTGTTGTCTGCACTGTGCAAAATATGTTTTAGGCCAGTGGTTCTCAACTTTTTCGGGCCAGCACCCCCCTACCCATTATCCAGGTCCCTTACCGCCCCCATCAAATAAATTTGAGTGTTGAGAAACACTATTTTAGGCCTATTAGTAGTGTTTGAGGATTGTAGTGTATTTGATCTGATCAACTAAGTAATTGAGATTTTAAAGTATGTTCTCTTGTTGCCCTTGGAAAGAACCCTGACATACTTAAAGGAACACTCCACTATTTTTGAAAATAGGCTCATTTTCCAGCTCCCCTAGAGTTAAACAGTTGAGTTTTACTGTTTTCGAATCCATTCAGCCGATCTCCGGGTCTGGCGGTAGCACTTTTAGCTGTAGCTTAGCATAGATCATTGAATCTGATTAGACCATTAGCATCTCGCTCAAAAATGTCCAAAGTTTCGATATTTTTCCCATTTAAAACTTGACTTTTCTGTAGTTACATCGTGTACGAAGACCGACGGAAAATGAAAAGTTGCGATTTACTAGGCCAATATGGCTAGGAACTATACTCTCATTCTGGTGTAATAATCAAGGAACTTTGCTGCCGTACCATGGGTGCAGCAGGCGCAATGATATTACGCAGCGCCTGAAAATAGGCTAACTTCCGTCAACATAACCAACGTGCCCCCCTGCTTGCACAGGGAGCGTGCCTTCCATTGGAAGTTACCTAGCTGGGGACTATTTTCAGGCGCTGCGTAATATCATTGTGCCTGCTTTGCGGTATTAGTACACGATGTAACTACAGAAGAGTCAAGTTTTAAATGGGAAAAATATCGAAACTCTTTGGTCATTTTTGAGCGAGATGCTAATGGTCTAATCAGATTCAATGATCTATGCTAAGCTGCAGCTAAAAGTGCTACCAGCAGACCAGGAGATCGGCTGAATGGATTAGAAAATGGTAAATCTCAACTGTTTAACTCTAGGGGAGTTGGAAAATGAGCCTATTTTCAAAAATAGTGGAGTGTTCGTTCCTTTAAGCCCTATTCGGACGGTAATTGTTTCTCAGGGGGACATAAGGGATTTTCACCATTTACAGGGGGTAGTTGGTGAGTTTAATGCTGTCCGAATCCAGGATGTCTGTGTTTTTCTCTCACCACCCACATAAAAATCCCAAGCCGAATTACCAAGGTTTTTTTATTTTATTTATTTTTTTGACAAACACCAAGGTTGTGTGGTGATTTAATTGCCATCCAAATCCACATCTCTGAGTTTATAAAAGGAGATCAATCCAAAAGTTTTGTACATTTTTGTAAATCCTTTTTGCCCACTGAAATGCACCGTACGGTTGCATTTCACAGTAATTTGTATCATAAAAGTAGCATCTGGTAGTCATTCGTTTTAAGCATTATTGTTATTATTAATAAACCATTTAATAATTTGATAATGGGCCTTTAATTGCCTATATAGCATAATAAGCGCTCAAGCGCACACATAAAGCTTGCCACAGCGCTCCAAGCAGAAGTAATGGATGTGCCTGTATGTTTCTGAGCACGTCAATGATCATGTGGCTGACTACGTAAGACATGCAGTTCCGGGTTCGTAGGATTACAAACTCCGACGTCCACCGCAAATTTATCTTCATCTGAAAGCATGCGTTTAATCACTGAGGATCTATGGAGATTTATTTTTTACAGATGTCCCCATGAGAAACAATTACTGTCCAAATAGGGCTTTTGTTGATGAAGGTTTAATAAGCGCTTCTCATTACAAATTTGGAAAGATGGTTGCTGCATGTTGCTTTCCATAAATATACAGGGATGTGAGCTGATCTGAGATGCTGAAAACACTGGATCATGAGCTGCTCCTGTCTAAAAGAACATACAATGTGCAGCGTGTTTATTTAATAACATCACAGCCTTTGACTTAATCGCAGTGATTTCAGTTTTACTTTTATGCTGTCCTAACACAATCATAGAATATATATTGATGTTTTTCTGGTTTGTCCACAGTGAGCAAGCAGCAGCTCTGTCCAACCCCAGTCAGATGGAGCTTTATGAGCCAAGAGCCAGCCAGACACGGCGCTACCCTCCTTCTGTGTCCTCATCACCACAGAAAGACATTCAGTCCAAGGTAAGATTCAATCTAAACACAATCAGCCCTTCGTCGTCTATCAGTGTACCACGAGTTTTCATGTGAAAATGATGCTTCATCTAAGCTAACCTTTTCTTTCTGATTACAGAATGGGTTCAATTCGATGCAGACGTCACAATCTCTGGAAGGTATAACTTTAAAGTTTTAAAAATCAGAATCCACCCAACTTTAAAGAGCTTGAGCATTTAAAGCAGCAGATGACATTAGTGCTGCGCACGCTAATGAACAGAATGTAGTTGTCCGTTGGTTTGTACACTAATATGGTTATTATAGTTACCGCCCTTGTTGTGAACAAGTCTCATGCAACTGATAAAACTAGTTAAATATCCCATTATCGTTCCTAGCTGCAGCAGGCTCTGCAGTGCCCTTGAAACCAGTGTCCGAATCAGTCGTCCCACCATCGGTTTCCAACATATCCCCATTGGCTGACCGCTCATCAGGTCCTCCTTCCCTGCTGACTACATCCAGTCAAACACCTCTCAGTGCTCTTGGACACGAAGACGCCTCGCCCAGCTCCCTGGCCCCTCCTCAGCAGAATAAGTATGGCATTTTGTGTTTGCATTACTTCAGTTTAGTGTGTCTGGATAAGAGAGATGCTAATAATACTGCACTTTTCCCATCAGCTCCCTCCCTTTACAGCAAAACAGTTTGGCACCTTCTTCGGTTTGCACTTCAAACACAAGCCTACTGGTGAGTTTGCCACTAAATGTACTTGTTATAAGTACAGAGCAAAGTGAACATGGTCAATATTGTGTCTGTTTTGGTAATGCATAGTCTTATTTTGCACAACTCATCTGTGTACTTGTTGTGAAAATATTATTACTTGATCTGCCTCATGACTAATTTAAATTAAACATTTTAAATGGTCTTGTTGATTTATTCTTCTTAAATGTGATTTATTCTTCAAACAATTGGCTGTTTGCAAATTTTTATTTTTATATATTTGTTTTGTGATCTCCCTTGTCACTGTGCCTCCCAGCACCCAAGTGTGGACGGCGATTCCTGCTTGCACTCCTCGTCCTTCTCGTCGGTCTCTGTTGTGGCTCCTTCTTCAGTTCCTCCACCCTCTTCAGCTACTTCAGCAGCCCCTGTTTCCTACAGTTGCCCCTCTTCTGTCAGTTTGGTCTCTGCACAGTCTGCACTGGGCCCAGTCAGCAGTCTGACCATAGGATTGAACAGTGGTGCTGGTGTGGTTTCAATGCCCCCCCCTATGGCTTCTGCTTCATCATCATCTGCTGCCTCGGCCACTGTGGCACCTTCATCTGCCTCATCTCGCAGCATGGCTGCCTCAGGTAAGAATTGCAGTTAGAGTTGGACAATATGACCTAAATCTTTTATACTGTGACATAAAATTATTTTTTATTGAAAGTGTTTAGTAAGGTGCCATCAAAAAGACTAGAATTATCTGATACATTAAAAAAAATGGTTTAAAAAATGTATTTAAATATGAATATTTAAAAAATATTATGAATACTTATTTGTTTGAGAAACATTTCCTTCAAACATCGGATGGACCTGTGGTCTGGGTACTGCTCAAGTTCACTAAACACTTTGCAGCTGTTCTGTATTCCCATTATGAGTTATACATGTTTTCTTTTGATAACTGAAAATGGGTGAAAATAAATACTTAGTTCCATGTTAAAAAAAAGAAAAGAGAGTTCACCCAAAAATGAAAATTGTCATTAATTACTCACCCTCATGTCGTTCCAAACCCGTAAGACCTTCATTTTTTTTCGGAACACAAATTAAGATATTTTTGATGAAATCCGAGAGCTTTCTGACCCTGCATAGATGGCAACGCAACTGAAACATTCAAGGCCCAGAAACATAGTAAGTGACATCAGGGGTTCAACCGTAGTTTTATGTAGCTACAAGAATATTTTTGTATACAAAGAAAACAAAAATAACGTCTTTATTCAACAATTTCTTCTCGTCCATGTCAGTCTCTGCCGCGCATTCACGAGAGTACCATGACGCATGCGTGTGCATTCCTCTGCCTGTAAACAAGGTGCAGCGCATGCGTGCTCTACGTCACAACGCCGGCTCCAGCGTCAGCAGCATCACACGCATGCGTTGTGGTACCCTCCTGAACGCGGTTGAACCACTGATGTCACTTGGACTATTTTATCGATGTTCTTACTACCTTTCTGGGCCTTGAACATTTCAGTTGCGTTGCTGTCTATGCAGAGTCAGAAAGCTCTCAGATTTAATCAGAAATATCTTAATTTGTGTTCTGAAGATGAACGAAGGTCTTACGGGTTTGGAATGACATGAAGGGTGAGTAATTAATGACAGAAATTTCATTTTTGGGTGAACTATCCCTTTAAAGTCACTGGACTTTTGGCGATTATTAATCTATAGTAACACGTAGATGTTACTGATTTTACGGGATGACCCATTATTTGTTTAGCTAGAAAAAAAATGTCTATTGCTTGGAATAAACTAATGCAGAATTGTGCATCATTTTCAACATGTACAGACATGGTCAATATCCATTTTCTTTTCTCAGAGATGTGTAAAACTAAATTTGTAAAATGCTTTATGCAAGAGGATAAAACCACTTCAGCTTAATTTGATTGTATGCTGCTTCATCTAAACAGGGAAAGCACCTCCAAACCTGCCTCCTGGAGTGCCACCCTTGCTGCCCAACCCTTACATTATGGCTCCCGGCCTGCTTCACCCATACCCAGTGAGTGTTTAGGCATTTTTATTTTTAATTTATTTTTTGTGTCTGTTGTCAGTTCTGTACTCTCTCTTAGGTATGGTTTATTTATCATGTATATTATTTTGGCTCACACCCTACTCTTTATGTCCTTTAGCCCCAAGTGTATGGCTACGATGACCTACAGATGCTGCAGACCAGGATACCACTGGTGAGGGGTTGTTCCTGTTTGATTAGAAGTATTTGACATTAAAGCAACAATGCTGGGTTTGTTTGTGCTGGATGTAGTTGAAACATTATTTTCTTCTTCAGGACTATTACAGCATCCCATTTGCCACTCCAACCACAGCACTGACTGGCAGGGATGGCAGTTTGACAAGCAACCCATATTCTGGTAAGATGCACTTTTTTTGTTTCTTTTAGGTTTGGTTTGCGCATTGCATTCAATGTCTGGTAAGGGAACCCAAAAGTTTTGAGCCAAATGCTACATTTTCTGAAACAGTGTTTCTCAAAACTTTCTTTTAGCTGGTGACCTGTCCAAGTTTGGCCGTGGCGACGCCTCGTCTCCTGCACCCACCACAACGCTGGCCCAGCCACAGCAGACCCAGACACAACCGCACCATACCACCCAGCAGCCCTTCCTCAACCCAACCCTTCCACCAGGATACAGCTACACCAGCCTGCCCTATTATACTGGTGTGCCCGGTCTGCCCAACACCTTCCAGTACGGCCCTGCCATGTTTCCGGTAAGGTTTCTTAAGGCATCTTTTACATGGCCAAGTTAAAGCTTCTCTGTGCCTTCTCATAATTCAGTGTAAAGGGACAGTGCAGCATAAAAGCCAGACTTTAACCCTTTTTAACCTCCTGGGGTCGACAGTTCCGCCGGCGGAAATTTTTGCAGATTTGAATGATGACAGCGAAAAGAACTAAAATGCTCCTTCATACTTGACCGTACATATAAGAGTAATACAGCATTTAAATCTGTAAAGGGTTTACTTTTATTTGTGTACACTCACAATATCAACAAAACATTGTGCTTTTGCAAAATAAAGAAAATAAACAGGGTGTGCTTTTAGCCATCTCATTCTCCGCGCATATCTGTTTGAAACGTGTCACTAAAATGAACTGAAACTCAGCGAATATTTGACACACGCACATGGGAGATATATCTATAGAAAGCTTAACATGTCTACTTTTAAACGAAGTAAGTCATGACGAAAACAAATATTATGTGACAAAGTAATCAGTATGAAACCAACGTGATGTCAAGTCTTGGCCGTCGCCCTCATTATCGCTAATGTGACCACGCCCACGTGCCGATCGCGCTTTTGTTATTACAATCGTACACGTGAAACGCGCATATAAACGCCCACATCACAGCAAACAAAGCAGCGAGACGTTTCCTCAAGTTCATCTCGGCTACTTCGCTTCTGGAAG